CATCGCTGGGTGCGTTCTCCTGCATTTGTGGATACTTCAGTGCTGTTCACCCCTTCGCCACTAGGGGTCACTTGCTGCGGGTTAGCTATCAGGCTGCTCTTCCTTCGAGGTTCATCCTTTGTCCACTAGAGGGCTGGCTCTGGGCATGATTAAAGGCTTCCATGTAGTTCCTCCTTTAACCACTAGGGGGCGTCTGAAGAAAGGCCAGCCAAATTCTTCCTATTACCACGTTACTGCTAGTGGCCACTGAGAGAATGTAGAGCTACAAAACTCCTACCTGGTCATTAAGTTGCAGGCTGGAACCCCTTGGTTATCAGCTTGTGATAATAACCAAGGACAATTGGCTCTGCTTTCTTCTGCTTAATTTCCCTCAAACTGGAACAACTTGGTCTACAGCTTGAGTGAGTGAATACTTTTGGTAAGTTCACTCTGTGCCCTCTAGGGGGCGTTGGTAGCTTGGGATAAATTTAAGTAGCTTCCATTCCAGAGAAAGCTAAAAGAACTGAGGCTCTTACAAGAGCAGGGAATTCTATGTTTTCCAGGAAAGAGTCACTGTGATAGTGGACTCAAACATAATTACACTATTTTCCATTACACTCAAGAATGAAGCAAAAATGGGAAAGCCAAAAAAGGAACTAAGAAGCATCCAAAAAACTGCCCCTTTCAAAAATTTCTGAATAAAAACAATTTACATTTCAAAGTTCTGCTGCCATGTTATTTGAAATATAATACTTTTCTTTATCATCTTGAATAATGTGGTGGAAAAAGAATTTGGACTAATAAAAGAGCTTCTGACTGCCCAGTGAAGTCTGTTTCAACCTGAATGAACTTAATTTAAACCCACCAAATTCCTCTCCTCCTTTGGAATCATGCCCACAATCAGATGGACTGCAATCACAGAGTGCATGAATCCATTGCAATTAGTAATTTACTTAAAATTATAACAGCTTATGCATGGTGCTGAATAATGGAGAGATACCAGATGGAGTTAGATTAAAATCTGCCAGATACTTCTACAGAAGCTGGAAAAGTAGTCCTCTCCCATCATGCTTTACAAACTTTCAATAACTTCATGTAATACTTTTACCTGGTCAGTTGTCACTAGTAATAATTTTAATGCAGGTAAGCCTTGCTTGTCCCAGTGACTAAATTCACAGTATGCTCCCAAACCTGTCATTAATTGTACAGCTTATGATATTAGGCGGCATGTCCTACTTATATATGTCACAACAGATACAGGTATTGTGCATTTGTATGTGATATAATTTCCTTGTGAACCATCTTCATTTACATAATAAAATTCTAGATAGCTAAATTGAAAATAATTACTTTCGAAGAAATTTTTTTAAGATTATGAATATTAGAATATTAGCAATAATACACTCAAAGGGGATGTTTCTTAGTATACAGTATTACTTTTATTTATATTAAGATTTTATGACATGATGTACATGAGAAGGATTCTAATTCTCCTCAACTGTTATCTGTAGCTGAAAGACTCTTCTATTTTATAAACTGCTTTTGAAATCAAAGAAAGACACACCTTTAAGATCGCTGATTTGTGTTGTAATAATTAAGGTAATACATTTCTATAAAAGCTAGCAGTAACAGCTAGCAGTAACAAATATCAGGAATAACATAACACCCTTCTTCCAATAGATAGAAAAGGAAGTGAGTGATCTTCAGAGGTATAAATACATTTTAGGTCCTTAACAATTGTACATTTGTACTTTCTATCTGCTCATCTGCTAATGCTAAAGCTACAATAATAAAAAAATATACAATGCAGATATAAGCACTCCCTAAATGACCATCCCAAAGACTTGAGCTTAGATACTTGAAGTCAGTGTACAATAGAGAACAAAATCCACCTGGCTAAGGTAAGTTAGCATTATTTTAAAAAATAAAATAGGAATTAAACTCATAAAATTATTTTATTGCAATCCAAATAAATACCAACAGTCATGCAATTTAAATGTCCCAATAAATTCCTCTTTGGCTCAAGTGGGGATGAAATGTGTCTTTAACCAATAACGAATACACTTACTTTTCACAAAAATGTGAAAAAGCTCTGCTTTCCATTATTCCACCAACAAGCACAATGCATATGCATGCATTTAGTGATCTACAAAATGCTCCCAGAGAGACCAAAATCAGTTTTTTTTCATGATCAGCAGGATTCCAAAGGTATTCCAAGAAATTGTAGAGAAAATCATACCTATAGACTTGTCTTCATGATCAACCGGATTCTGCTTTTTCTCATACTGAAATCTGGTAACTTAGTGAGACTGGGAACTGGGCTTGGAGGAAATGTAGATTAGGAACTTGATCTGAATTCCTCTTTCACAACATTCTGTTCAAACTATGTAGTAGAACAATTATAGAACTATTTAAATAATAGTTCTAACTAGTATCAGAATGAAAACAAAATTATGCAATTCCAGTGAGATTAATGTTGCTCCTTCAGGAAAAAGATTTTCAACTCTACAAACTTAAGAATCTGCTTACTTCTTTTCAAAAGTCAGTTCTTCTAAAGCTGTGAATCCCTGAAAAGGACCAGCAGAATTGTATGCTCATATATGCTCATATAATGTATGCTCATATAATGTGTAAATCAGGCTCACATAACTACATCCATGTTAATGTACAGATAAAACATCAGATCGTAGAAATCCTGAAATATATTATATTGAGTCATACTGGATCGTTCTAATGAGAAGATTTCAGACAACAGGATTTCCTGGCAATGATGGGAATTCAACTTGGGACCTTTTGTCCCTAGTAAACTTAAGATCCAGTTTTATGCAGTAGCTGAAGTGCTGAGGACGCGGCAGGAAGAGATTTATATTTTCTCAAAGATTACTACAAGCAACAAGAATCGATCTATTGGTTGAAAGAGAAAAAAGACGTTTACTGCAGAGGAAGGGACGTACATTTTTCCAAAGATTACTACAAGCATTAAGAATGGATTTACTGGTTGAAAGGGAAGCGCTTTTATGGAAGCCAGTGTGGCATAGAAAGAAACCCAGAATTAGACTGAAAAAGAAATTTAAAAATGTTTAATGGAGTAAAAGGCAATGATGATTTTATGGATTGTTTTAAGGATAATGATCTAGAGCCAGAACTAAGAAAAATGCAATTATATACATGCGTGTTTAAATTAGTAAGTGTTTAAATTGATTAGGTGATTTTTGTGAATAATATGATCTGATAAGGTATGATAATTAATTGGATGAAATTTGAAGTTTGTGTAATGAATTGAAAGGAATTAAGGTTTAACATTATTATTATTTTTTCTTTTTTCTTTTCTGTTAATTAAGTCAGTTATAACTATATACATATGTGTTTAAATTAGGTAGATGCTTTTTTGTTGTATGGAATGGTTTGGATAAAATAACCTTGGCTCTATGGATTGTATTATATATTACAGTAAAAAAGGAAGCGATCACAAGGAAATAAAACACCAAGGTTTTAATAAATAAAATCAAGCTTTCGATGGCTAGCATCTGCCATCATCATCAGGATACAAGCTAGCTAGTGAGGAAACCTGCTTATAAGGATATCCTGTATCCTGACGATGATGGCAGATGCTAGCCATTGAAAGCTTGATTTTATTTATTAAAACCTTGGTGTTTTATTTCCTGGTGATCGCTTCCTTTTTTACTGTAATGTATGTACCCAGGAATCGCTATTCCTCAATTTTTAATGTAATTTTATATATGTATGTATGTATGTATGTATGTATGTTTGTATGTTCTGGAGTTGAAAAAAAATGTTCAGTCATGAGAAAGTAATTTTGAAGTGCTTAAATTGATTAGGTGATTTTTGCCTATAATAATATGATCTGATAAGGTATGATAACTAATTGGATATCTGAAATTTGAGTAATGAATTGAAAGGAACTAAGGTTTAAAATTTTTTTTAATTAAGTTATCACTGGAAGAAGAAATGAATGAGATTGGTAATAAGAAGAGGGCTGAGCGAGATTAAAAACTTTAATATACATGGTAGAGATACTTGAAGTGATAATTTCTTGATGTAAAACAATATTTGATTATGGTAATTTTAAATTGAAAAAGCTTTAAAACAGGTGGAGTAGTAACAGAAATTTAAGCTAGAAATGGAATATATTAAATCTATCATGTTATTTGTGAGAAATAGAGAGATGATAGTGAATGTATTAAGTTGAGCTGTTTATGTATGTTTTTTATCTTGAATTGTTTGTTTACCCAAACACCACAGTGTGTCTAAAGTACTCTTTGTTAAAATTAAAAAAAACCCAATAAAATATATTTTTTTTAAAAAAAGATTGCTGCATAACAACTCCCAGCTTAGCCAATGCTGGAATTTAGTTCAGTGACATTATACACTCGAGCCAAAATGCATTATTCCCTTCATCTCATTTTGATGAATACCTGGGGGGGGGGGGAATATCTTACGCTGGATCAAATTATTTGTCTAGCCCTAATTTTCTACTTGACTGCATCACCTGAATATTCCCCATCACCTGCTCTGTTTTAGCTGAGTAGGTCACAGACTGAATCAGGATTTGAAATATATGAAGATATATTCAGTAGGTAGTCTCTGGACTCATCCCAGACATTCAACATTATGTTTCAAAGCAGATAGATGTAACACATTTGCATAAGAGAAATTCTATTGAGCTAAAAATATAATTCTTTCATGTTTTTTTATACTTTATAAGCAGTAAAAAAAAAACCTCTTCAAGGCTACACAGTCTTTACAATGGAAATTTATTTTAAATTGGACCACAAGCATTTTACACTTTCCTACAACTTGATACTATTGGCAAAACAAACCACCAGATAAATCCAGAGCAGTTTTGAATGTACTTTCTCCATTCACCTATTTTGTATCTGATCCAGGGATTTTACAGCATGGACCTGAATCATTTTTATGCAAGGGGAAATCTTTGTGTGATGATGCTCCATTTGCATAATTAGTACGTTTTATCATTTTATTATTCAAAAGATACTTACTTTGTAATACGATCAATGTTAGCAATTTGCCTCTGGTTTCTGATGATTTCTATAGCTGACCAAAGGTGTTGGACAGCCTTTGTATCTGCTTGTCGCCGTTCTATTAAACGTGCCATGTCTGCTTCACTTGCTGAACTGCAAGAGAAACAGCAATTGGAAATAAGATTGTCTTACTTAGTAACACTAAAAGTCACTGTTTTAATTTTTTTCGTAAAGATGCATCAGACAATGTATGTTTAGTTTTATAACCCAATATGGAGCCAGTCAACTTCTGATTAATGAAGTTATTTATCATGCAGAAATTTGAAAAAGTATTAAGGAATCCCCCTTAGAAAAAAATTAAATCACAATAAAGCTGGTGCCATTTAGCAAAATAGATGGGTCTTATGGAGACTAGCTCGTATAAATATGTAAAATAATTTTGTATGCAAAAATCAATCTAACTTTAAACTGCAATTTCTTTACAACTCAACTGGCTGCTAAAGAACAAAACAAAATTGCTTCTTGGACAACATGTAGCCAGTGTCAGTTTTTAGTCTTCTTTTCCATATAAATATTCTGTTTTCTTCCTTCCTCTTTCAATATATGAAACTCAACACAGAAATTTTGGAATTTCTGGAATACAGAAAGGGAACATAGACAAAAAAACTTCCATGTCTATTACATTATCTAGCCTAAAAAATAGGGTTCTGTAATACTGACAACCAGAAGATGTTTCTAGAAAACACTTTTAAAGTGTTAAAAGGACCAAAATCTTCCTTGGAAGACCTAAACCACAAATACAATAACTCCATCTACTTTACAGCCACTAATATGGTATCTACAATAGCTCTCCAAATCATAGTCCAATCTATCTAGGAGAAGGTCAGATTCCACCATGCAATTATCTATCTTTATTTAGACCAGGGGTCTTCAAATTTGGCCCTTTTATGACTTGTGGACTTCAACTCCCAGAATTACTCAGCCAGCATAGGAATTGAAGACCACAAGTCATAAAAGGGCCAAGTTTGAAGACCTTTGATTTAGACCAGTGGTTCTCAACCTTTTTAATGCCGTGACCCCCAACCGGTCGTAAGTTGAGGACTACTCAGCCGGTCATAAGTTGAGGACTACTCAACTGGTGCAGCACCGTTTGCAGAATGGGATTTTTGGCGGGCTCAGCAGAGCAGAGACAGCCTGGACAATTCCTACTGGCTTTTGAAAGCCAATAGAATTAGACTCTATTCAAGAGAGTCTATTCTATTGGCTTTCAAAAGCCAATAGAATAAAAGGGAGTAGCACGGCTAAGGAAAAGGGGGAAAAAAATGGCGGACTGCGTTGTTTGGCGACCCCCGTGAAATGGTCGTTCGACCCCAAATGGGGTCCCGACCCACAGGTTGAGAACCACTGATTTAGACCATCCTGTGAACCCCCTGAAGCAAGATGGCCTCCCTGAATTATTTAAGATGATTCTCATTAGCATTTCAAGCACTTGAAGGTTCTGAAGTCATATCAAACTTTCCTGTTCTCTTGTGGAAGAAAAGATATGCAATACACCAACTTCTTTATCACTTGTTACTATTTCTGTTAAAAAAAATAACAGTTCAATATCTTATCCAATATCTCTAATAAGACAGTTCTCCATTCATGAAGACAAGCTGTGGCCAATTGTTTTTTCTTTTCTAATTATGTTCAAATACTAACATGGATATCTCTCTCCCAGCAATTTATAACAGACCTGAGATTTGCTGCAAAGCATGCAGGAGTTTCTCCCTTGTTTCCAGAAATGCATATCGTTCTTTCAATGCATTAAAAGTCTGCATTTCAATCATGGTTTCCTGAAGCATTGAACAATGGAAAATGGGTTTGCATTGAGGGCAGAGGAGATAAGCACAACTAAATGTTTTCAGATTCATTAATTTGTAAGACTTCTTAGCAACCATCTGAACTTCTCTCTAACCCAGTGGTTCTCAACCTTCCTAATGCCGCGACTCTTTAATACAGTTCCTCATGTTGTGGTGACCCCCAACCCCCCATCCAGCTGGCCGGGGGGTATCGAAAACTTGACCAAAAAAAGAGGAAAAAATGGGAAAGTATAGGTAGTCCTCGACTTATAACAATTTGCTTAGTGACTGTTTGAAGTTACAATAGCACTGAAAAAGTGAAATATGATCATTTTTCACACTTATGATTGTTGCAGCATCCCCAGGGTCATGTGATTTACATTCGGATACTTGACAATTGATTCATACCTATGATGTTCACGGTGTCCCAGGGTCATGTGATCAATGGCCAGGGGATGTGGCCAGCTGATCACTCAGGTTACAGAGTGCCTGTAGGGGGGAATCTGTGGGTCTTTGGAATGGGACTGGGGTGGGTGCCTGCCTTCCTTCCCTCCCTTCTCTCCCTTTGTCCCTTCCTTCCTTCTTTTCTTCCTTTCCTTCACCTCCCTCTTAGTCTCTTCCTCCTTCCCTCCCTCTCCCATTGTCCCTTCCTTTCTTCTTTTCTTCCTTTCCTTCACCTCCCTTAGTCTCTTCCTCCTTCCCTCCCTCTCTCCCACTGTCCCTTCCTTCCTTCCTTCCTTCTTTCCTTCCTTTCCTTCACCTCCCTTAGTCTCTTCCTCCTTCCCTTCCTTTCCCATTGTCCCTTCCTTCTTTCCTTCCTTTCCTTCCCCTCCCTCTTAGTCCCATCCTTCCTTCCTTCCTTCCTTCCTTCCTTCCTTCCTTCCTTCCTTCCTTCCTTCCTTCCTTCCTTCCCTCTTTGTCCCTTCTTTCCCTCCCGTCCATGGTTACTTCCTTCCTTTCCTCTCTCATTGTTCCTTACTTCCCTCCCTCTTCGTCCCTTCCTTCCTCTCCCCCTCCGTGCCCAGAAAGGAACAAGGGGAGGGGGACAGGCTGCCAGAGGCAGAGGAGAGCTCCGCCCAGCTCACTTGCTCAGCTTCGCCAGAAAACAAGCTGCTTGCTAAGTTAGCAGAAGCCCCAGGATCAGCGCCGGGCTACAGCTGATTTGCGCTTCTGCTAAATTAACAAGCAGCATGTTTTCTAGCAAAGCTCAAGCAAGTTTGCTAGGCAGGAGCCAAGGAAACCTGCTACAGTTGACCTGCTTCTTGGCTGGTCTGCAAAAGCACAGATTAGCTGTAGAGGTTCGCCCCAATTCTGGACAAAAGGGAAGGAAGGAAGGACGGAAGGGACAAGGGGAAAGAGGGAGGGGAGGAGGGACAAAGAGGGAGGTGAAGGAAAGGAAGGAAGGAAGGAAGGAAGGGGCAAGGGGAGAGGGGGGGAAGGAGGGACAAAGAGGGAGGTGAAGGAAAGGAAGGAAGGAAGGAAGGAAGGAAGGAAGGAAGGGACAATGGGAGAGGGAGGAAAGGAGAAAGAGACCAAGAGGGAGGGAAGGAAAGGAAGTTCCAGCCAGCAGAGGCTTGGCAGCCCAGCTGCCAAGAAACAAAAGAACACAAAGCCAAGGAGAAGAAGGTGGCAGTTTCCTCCCAAAGGGGGCTCCTTTTCTCCACCCCTTCCCTGGGTTTGTGGGAAATTTCTTATCACCAACACTGGCAGGTGCTCCTTCGAGCCCGCCGTGAGCTTTCTCACCCCCTTTGCTTCTCCCCCCCACTTCCGTGAGGATTGTGGCGCCCTTGGGAAGCCGATCGTGCTTTGAAGCTTAGGAGAGGATGAGGAGTCAATTCTTCCTTCCCTTACTCTCTCCCTGTCAAGTCCCGGCAGGCTACACATGAACGGGCAGAGGAGAAGTCAAGGACGGGCAAGGTGGCAAAGGAGACCGGTGGTTGTCGCCATACCTCCCAGCTGACAAGCGCAAGTTCGGGGGTCACCAGCTGACGGGCACAGGAGTTGGGTGCTGCGGTGGCCTCCCCTTCGCTGACCTGCATGCATGAGAAGAAGTGAAACCGGTTGCTGCACAATGAGTCCCTGGGGAGGGCTGGGCCTTGCTCTGTGCCTGTGCTCTTCATGCACCCCCTGCAGGGCACATTTGGTAGAGTTTGTGCAGACTGCCGCCGAGCAGCATATTTTCCACAAACAAGTGAGGTGGATCAGAGGGGGGGAGGGAGACAAAGCGGTTGACAAGCCTTGCCTAAGACTATCGGAAATATGTGTTTTCCAATGGTCTTAGGCGATCCCTGTGAAACGCTTGTGCAACCCCCAAAAGGGTCGCGACCCACAGGTTGAGAACCACTGCTTTAACCTCTAAATATCCTCAGCCTCAACGAGGAGAAAAGGCTGAAATTCAATAACTCCAATCTCATTCATGAAAAGATACATCATACTTCCTCGTAAGCTCTGAATGCAGGAAGTATGGTATTTAGACTCTCTTCAGTTGAATATTATTAACATAACCTATTGTGTCATTAATACTCTGAAATACTTGGTTGGAAAGGTCTTTCCACATTAAGACCATATTCAGAATAATAAGGATCATAAAAACAGAAATTCTATTTTAAATGTGTTTTACAATATCTAAGCATCCATTAAAAAAGCAAAAAAGGGGTGAGATAAAGCTCTTATCATTTATAATAAGGTTTTTACAGATTTCATCCCCCAGCAATCTTTTGCCCATCTAAACAGTTATGACCAATAAGTTGCAACAAGAAAGCACTTTGTGTTGCTACATAATTATTCCAAAACAGCAGATAGAATATACAGATAAGCCTTTTATTGCCTACAATCATTGCAGGCTAGAAAAGTCAATTTTTAAAGAAGCTAGTGATGCATTCTGAAGCAAGCATGGAGTGGCAGAACCTGGGGGGTGGAGTCAAAAGAGGAATCTGCCTGGAATCTCTACGCAGCCTCAAACAGTCTTAAGTTCAAACTCTCTTGAACCTGAGAGCTAGTGCAGCTTACGCAACAGAAATGTTACGTGAGCTTACAATCCATGTGAAGTATATTAGCAATAGGACTTAGATTTATACCGCTTCACGGCGGTATAGTCTTCTCTAAGCAGTTTACAGTATCAGCATATTGTTCCCAACAATCTGAGTCCTCATTTACTGACCTCAGAAGGATGGAAGGCTGAATCAGCCTTGAGCCAGTCAGAATCGAACTTCAGGCAGTGAGCAGTGAGTTAGCCTGCAGTACTGCATTCTAACTATTGTGCCATCACGGCTCCTATTGCAATATTGCAGTAATCCAAATGGAAAGTGACCA